TTGTAGTAAGTGCAGTAACTCTGGAAAGTTTCAAAAGGAGGCTAGATAGATTCATGGATAATAGAGTGATAGTAACTCTCGACAGGAGCTGCCATGCACAGGCCAACCGGCCTAATGCAGACTCCTTATTTTCTTATGGACTACAGTAACCATGTAAGTGGATGAGTTGCCATATAGGAACGCATTATATGTTTGGCAGAATTAGTGGATATAGTAAAGGTATAAGATTATATTTTGCAACCGAATTTTGAATCTGTATTTGTATTGCTACTTCACTTTGGGCTAATGCCACATTATGTCATTCTTTATTCGTATTGGAAAATATAACATGCTGTTCTGAAACATCTGAATAGCTCCACAGTTCATATAACATACACATTCTTTATGTAAGATATCAGAAAATGTTGGTAGCACTAATTATGTAAATCACAATATTAGGCTGCTGCAACACCCCTCACAATGAGTATTCGACATGGAGAAATGAGGCATAGAGTTCCGATCAAGTTTCAAATTGTATTAGTCTGGCAGTACTACAACTCGTTTCAGTGCCGATCACTTGTTTCAAGCACGCGTGGCCGAACCCCATACAAGCGCAGGGCTACCAATGCGAGGAATGCCTCAAGGGCCTTTTTGAAGCACTTGGTTTTTAGTGTCAGTTTGTTTTGTGCAGGAATTGCAACGGTAGTTTTTTTTACCGAGTGTACATATATGGAAGCGGCGATCTTTTTTCTTTTATATATAATTTTATATTTAGTTCACAATTAAGATAACTTTACTTGGAGACCTGTCAAGGACACCCTCACAAAATATGACGGTTGAGGATAACCTGATCTGAGGTTGACGAGTTCCACAACAATTTAAATAATGAGATACAGTACTTAATACACAAAGGCAGAACATACCATACAGAAAACTTGGATCAAATAACAATGACCCCAAATGGATAAATAATTATTTAAAGAATATTAATGGCCAAAGGAAGGATATAGGTAGGAGAATAAATTGTGAACTTTACCTCCGAGATGATTATAATGTATTGGTCAGTAGGGTTAAGATCGATCTAAGAAAAGCAAAGAGGAACAATGAACTATAGGTAGCAAGGGAGGCGAAGTTAAACCCCGAGAGATTCTCTCAAATGTATCAAGCTAAAACAAGAGACAAGATTGGACCAATACCGGTGAGCTAACCGATAACGACGGAGAAATGAGCAATAATCTGAACAGGTATTTTTCAACAGTTTTCACCATCAAAAATTTAAACATGATACCCGAGGCACTGACTATATACAGAGATAGTGAAGAAAATAGATTAAACGAGATAGTAGTGACTAGTAGCGATGTTAGAAAGCAAATAGACAAGTTAAAGCCTAACATTTGCCAGAGAATTAAAGGAATGTAAGGAAAACTTTCGTGTGCCCTTAGCAATTTTTTTAACATGTCATTAAAAACGAGTGTATTACCAGAGTCCTGGAGGATAGCAAATGTAATACCAATTTTCAAGAGGGGAGATAGATCGCTATCCTCAACTACAGTACTGTCCAATCAGTTTAACATCAATTGTAGGCAAATTGCTGGAAGCAATAATTTCAAACCCTATTCAAAATCACCTGGAGAAGTACAAGTTATGAATGTGAATCATGGTTCATTGAACAAGTTCTACTAACATAAACTCATAAAATTCATCCTACATACTGATTGAACCCTTGGTATTCACTCATTCACACTCTTTGTATTTCAGTGAACCAAGAGAGACATAAAACAACTCAAATTCATTCCTGAACCTCTAGTCACTACTTGTTTGAAGTGTGCAAGGTAGGCCAAGTTAGTAATGTGTGGGCCTATTAGTTTCCTCCATTCTTATGTTCTATGTTCTTAATATTCTTGCAAGACAAATAAATACAAACAATATAATGAAGGAACTGTACAGGTTTTGGACTATTTATTCAATCAAACAATTATTTACGAACTGTGCTTCCTGCTAATGTCTCTATTCCAGGGGTCCAAACTTTAATATACTGGTTAGCAAATTAACTGGAAAGTAATCAGCGATCAGCTGTACTGTGCTGTACTCAGGCAATAAAAGTCAACAATGTATTCCACAGGATTGAATGAGCAATCAGAAATGTATGACTATATCTACTTTAAGAAGAAGTCTGAGAGTACAGAAGTACTGAAATGCAGCTAAATTTAGCTTTAAGTTTAGGTAAATTACTGTAGTTGTAGTTAGTACTGCAGTTACAGTTTATAAAAAATGGAACTAGCAGTACTAGCCTACTAATAATGTTTTGTAAAAAGGAGGAAGCAAAGCTCATTCATCAGTACAGAATAATATAAATTGTCTTCCAGTAATACAAAACAAACGGTGGTACTACAGCGTGCAGTCTACAAAGATATCTTTAGTCTAACCTACAGCCAAGCCAACTCAACCTAAACATGTTGCAGAATGCATGCTATAGTAGCACCAAACAAACAATTCACTCAAAATTCAGAAATGCAGAGAAAAATACTGTATAAAATATATGATAAACTTTACAGCACAGAAAGATGAACGCTTAATTAGATATTTTTAGAAATAAACTATCTCTCAGGTGTAAAAATAAGGTAGCGTAAAGTTGGCTTTTGTAATACAAAATAAAAGGTTCACATTACAAATACAATGAACATTATTAACCCTAATCGTTCATCGCTTCCTCAATGCCGTGGCTCACCCCTTCCCCATCTCAGTAACAGTAAGTTCAGCCATGGCAGGTGTTATGCTATGTAGTCGATATTTTTGCTGTGACGTTAAGTTCCCACTAACATTATTCTACCACAAGTGCACTGATTGGCTAAGTACTTTCTGTTTAATATAACAGAAGGTTCCTCGTTAGAAAGTTAGTTAAAGTTACAATAGGTAGGTTTCTTTGGTTGGCTAGGTCAGGTTCCTTCAGGTTCTAGTAACCTACCATATCAAGATAGGTTAAAGAAACTAAACTTGCATTCCCGAGAAAGACGAAGAGTGCGGGGAGATATGATAGAAGTATTTAAGTGGGTGAAAGGAATCAATAAAGGGGATATAGATAAAGTTCTCATAATATCCGAGCAGGAGAGGACTTGTAGCAACAGATTTAATTTAGATAAGTTTAGGTTTAGGAGGGAGATAGGAAGGAACTGGTTCAAAAATAGGGTGGTGGACGAGTGGAACAAGCTTAGCAACTTTGTAGTAAGTGCTGGAATGCTGGAAAGTTTAAAAAGGAGGCTAGATAGATTCATGGATGATATAGTGGTAGTAACTCTCGACAGGAGCCGCCATGCACAGGCCAACTGGCCTATTGCAGATTCCTTATTTTCTTATGTTCTAAATGCCGTCTCTTATAGGTATTTTTGCGTTAGTGCACACAACTTTCCTATCCCAAATCCATTATCATAGTCGAATAAGATGTCTAAATTTTAAGATGATTTTTTTCTATTACATTACCGTCGCAAACATATGATAACGGAGATAACGCATGCCAAATATTTCTCTATTTTCTTCCATTAATCTTCCGCCATTATCGCCTACCCCACCTCCTATTCTGCGTGTTTTTTTAATAAATTGTCACACACCTGCATTCCCTTACACGTCATGCAGCCAATCAAAAGCGTTTTTCCCCCATGATTTTGGGTATAATTTGCGGTATTTTTGGCCCAACTAGATTCGGTTTTTATTTTGGGTCTCATATTTCAAAATTCAAATTCATTTCCGACCATGGAAGTCTGCGATGGGTGTTTTCCCGACCTCAGTAAAGTGTCCTAAGTGTAAGATCGAATGTAAATAGCGTCAAGAACAACATATGGCATTGTAGTAACTCGTTCCTTATTCCCAAGACAAAGAAGAGATGTTGGTGTTCGTACACCGTCAGTGATTACATGGGAAAATTTTTAGGAAAGTGCCATCTTCACCTGTACTAATCACAGAATCGAACAACGAACCAGAACCAGGCCAATAAAGTATGAAATAAGTGATTCCATCATATGGTGAGGGTTAGGTTAGGTCAGGTTTATATGCCTGTTTTTCTAGTGTTTTTTTTAGTGTATTTTGGTTTCGATCGGTCATAATTTTGGTTGGAAAACGCCCCACCCAAAACCCCCGATAACTAAAAAAAAAAAAAAACCAGACAATTTCCGACATAAATCAAGGTCAAAACTAATCAAAACACAAAAAATACCTTAGAAATACATAGTTTTGACTTTCTAACAGAGTTGTGTGCACTAATGCAAATTTGCCTTCTTATATATTGAAAAGTTTCCATGCAAACAGAAATAAGAACATAAGCTTACAACTACACAAAATTCTACTCACGGTGAATTAAATGCCAAATGCCGCTAGTCTCGGACATAAATAGTTCTCCGATAATGGACGATAAGCCAATCAGCGCACTCACGGTAAAATAGCGTTCGTAGGAACTAAGCCAGGCACGACAAAATTTCCATTGCCGAACACATTTGCACAAACTATGAGTGTCCACAATAAGAGTGAAATTGTGGTGATTTTATTTTCGTTTTCTATGCAAAATCGCTGGCAGTTCAGTCATTAATAATTATCCAAAATCCACCTTTCTACAGCAGTGTAAGAATTGCTGTACAAAACAAATAAAAGGTGACACTGCTTATATATCACCCAATTGTGAAGACCTACCATGATGCATCACCCACCATGTCTAAGTGAAGCAAAGATTTAATTATATGTGCAAACTATAATCAATCATAAGTGACCAAACCATAAATATATAATTCAATCGAATTTTATACAGCAGTATCTCAATTCCCTACCAGTGAAAACACATGATCTCGACGTAAACAACATGTGCCTCACAGTTTTTGCAATTTAAGTAGTCGAATTCAAGTATATATCGGTTTTATATACAAAGAGTTACATGGAACGCTTATTATGTATTCAAAGTTTTTAAAGTAAATCCTCTAAGAGTGAATAAATAACAGAAAAAACACAAAAATGCTATAGTAACTCACGACTAACCGTACCTTTGATATCCGCGTGTAGGAAAGGAAAACTCCGATTCTAGATCATTGAGGAGAGTCAAAGAGGATCATTCCGTTTTAATTATTTTTAAATACCAAACCTTTTTTTCTTAATTTTTTATAAATATAAATACTATACAATGTAATTACTTTGAATAAGATAATTTATATATTTTATGTAAGTTTAATATAATTCTCATTAATAATGTTATGTGATGTTCACAAAATATTTGCTAGGAGCTGCACTTCATATTATTTTCATTAAGAGTGATTGGTCAATTGGCTCACGATCAACCAATCACAGCATTTGTTTTGAGAAGTTGGTTATGGGTGTTTAGCTACAGTATTAAAAACTAGAATCTATAGTTTATCTAATGCAGTACAATTTCCCTTAAATAATAGTATTAATCAACATCATCACTTGCAGTGATGCAAATGAAAAAATAAGAGTATTATATTCAAAATGTATTTAAATATATGCATTCGAGTGTATATTGTTAGTTAATTAATGATAAGTAGGAATCTTAAACCAAGTAAACGAAATGTATTTGCTCAAGACGGACTAACAAGGTACTTGGGTTCGTACAACGGAGTGTCAGTTAAGAACATAAGAATGGAGGAAACTGCAGCGGGCCTATTGGCCCATTCTGGGCAGTCCCGTTTACACCCAACCCCTATTGCTCATATAAGCATCCAACCTATGTTTGAAGCTATTCAGCGTATTCGAGTTAATGATGATATTTGGTAACTTGTTCCATTCATCCACTACTCTGTTTCCAAACCAGTGTTTACCTATTTCACGCCTAAATCTAAATTTGTCTAATTTAAAACCATTGTTACGAGTTCGCTCCTGGTTGGATAGTTTGAGTACCTTTGTAATGTCCCTTTGTTTAGCCCTGCCTTCCACTTATACACCTCTATCAGGTCGCCCCTCGCTCTACCTCTCTCGAGGGAGTGCAAATTAAGATGCTTTAACCTGTCTCTATACTCAAGGTTCCTAATGCCCGGGATTAGTCTTGTCATTCTCCTCTGAATTCTTTCCAAGGATTCTATATCCATCCTGTAATACGGTGACCAGAACTGAACTGCGTAATCCAGGTGTGGTCTCACAAGCGCAAGATACAGTTTTAGATAATCTGGCCAGTTCTGTAACCAAACACCTCTTTGTATAAACCTGGGCATTTATTAGCCTTGTTATGATATAAAAACACATTGTTTATTTATTAAGGTTC